AAAAATGTATTGCCATTGATTTGTAAACCTTAGCCACATTAGCACCACATGAACTTTTCTAATAGATGAAGAACCTTTTGAGGAACTTACTTCCTCTGTCTTTCTCTATAGGAGAAAGGGTCTAAAGAAGTTGCCAGACAGACAGTTTTACTCAAAAGTCCCCATTTGGTACCACTTTCCACAATACAGGAGCTTGCAGCACTTCTAATTGTCATTTTTAAAAGCCTGCAAGATATCCTGCCAAAATCCTAACATAGATGGACTGTCTACAAAATCCAGGCCTTTTATACAACAGAAGACATCCAGTGGGAATGTGAGTGGATGAGCCACAATGAGAAGGTCTGCTTTAAAATTAGGTTAAGGTTGTCTAAGCCTTTTCTTTTTGATACATCACCAGATAAGTTTTCTTTCTTTTTTTTCTTTTTTTTCGGGTATTTAGACTGCAGGAAATACAGAAACAAGTCCGTAGATAACACAGGGCAGAAGGATCCTTTTGTTCCAGGAAAAGTTCAGAACATTAGTGTCTAAAACTACAGAAGTTCTACAGACTTTTGGCGGAAACACAGCTTTAATAAGAAGTCTGTGTGGGAAAGAACCTATGCAATCAGATGATGAAACAAGTTGGGAGTCGACCTCCAAATGATCTAATCCTATGCCAAAAAAATTAATAAATGAAGACATACAACCCAAACTGTCCGTCACAACAATCCATCATGTTACCTCCAAAAATATCTGCAGCAGAACCAGAGACTTGGTGGTGTTGTATTGTGAACACTGTAAAGCGAAGTGAACAGGAATCTAATACGAGCTGTGTTTGTCGACCGATGTGTCAGTAGGATTACAAATCTTCTGAGCAGTTACTTGGGTGGAATTTTCCCAAACCACAGACATGTCCTGAGATGTTCCTAACTCTAACTTAATTTGTATATTCTTGGCAGTGTTTGGACATCAGGACGCCAGACTGAGTTTTTTCCACCAGTAGCACCAGTGCCAGACATCTTATTGGGGGGAGACTCACCACTTAAAGGATCATGAATAGAAATCTACGGAAGAATTACGTAACGCCAGAGATGGCAGTTTTATGACGCATGTTCTGCCTATTCCCCTCACAAAGTCAATCATCAGCTTTATTACAGATGAACTGGCGAACATCCAGCCAAACGTGTTGTTGTGGTGATGCACATGCAATGTCATGACGCTGTGCATGCAAAGTAGAAGTCTGTGTGGAATAATGCTTTATAGGCCTTATTTTGTGGCAAAGTCACCAGACTTTTAAGCAGTTTTCATCAAATATGACTAATGAGTCCATACATGCTATTTTTTATGTTTTGGCAGTCATTGAAATTGCAGTTATGTCTTTCTCCCCATTCATTTAGATAAGGTCCTGGTCTTGTCAACTCAAAACAACTGCCCTAAGGCATTACCAAGATGGTTGCTGGGTGGTGAGACTTCAGTATAAGGACTTTAATGGTGGCTGGCACAAAATTGAGGAGCACCACTTTAATTGGGATGCAATACAACACATATAGGTTTTTAACTGTCATACTTATGAGTGCTTTGGTAATAAACTGTCAATTTACAGACATAAATGGTAAATGGTCTGCACTTATACAGCATCTTTCTGACTTAGTGGCACTCAAAGCGCTTTACAATGTGTTTCTCATTCACCCATTCACACAAACATTCACACACCGATGGCGACAGAGCTGCCATACAAGGTGCCTGCCTGCCATCAGGACAACTTCAGGTTCATTGTCATGCCCAAGGACACTTCGACATTTGCTCTTATATTTTAAAGGAAAAACTCACAAATTGTGTAAGTCTATGAGACATTGTGTGAACTGCTTTGGAGTCAAGGAGTGATAGCTTGACTCCTCTTAGTCCGACTCACAGAACGTATTCTGTGACTATAAACCTACTGCTGGCACTGGTTACTGTCTACATGTTTTCAAAATCCCTCCTGACTACCTGAAACAACAACAACCTCTGGACTGGCCACCTACCACACTTAAAAAATGTCCAGTTCAGTTTTACTGCGGATTGAATCATGCAGTACGACAGCCTTGCCATTTTTAATTGTTAATTTTTAATTTTTAATTGTTTTGTGAATTGGACATTGCAATAGACTGATGACCTGTCCAGGGTGTCCGATGCCTTTACCCTGAGTCAGCTGGGTACAGCCCCCCCACAACCCTAGTGAGGATTAAGCGGATGGATGGATGGATGGATGGATGGATGAATTGCCGTGCTTGCTGATCCTGCCATCACCATCAAAGCATAGCAGCTCAAAATCGGAAATTTCACTTATTTTAACTAACAGATAAGACAAAAAAACAACTTTCCTAATGCTAAACCCCATAAAATATCATATTCTTGGTGTTCATATTTCTATTACTAGAAATAATGGTAAATATCAGGTCAATGAATGCTTAATAAAGATTGCATCTGTTATTTCTGATGAAAAAACTAAGCTTCCCAAAAAGTGAGGGTGTACTTGCACAGGAGAAAAAAAAAAGATTGTTGGAGATGCTGCTGGTCCATCAGTTCCTGGATAGTTTGTGCTCTGTGCTGTTATCGTGCTTTGTGAGGCTTTCACGTTTGAATTTTGTGGTTTGACGGTAAACTAAGCTTTCAGACTAAAAGAAGTACATACAATACTTATGATACATTCCCTTCATTGAAACATATCAGACATGTAAACTATTGCTGTCAGAAGAGTAGGTCTGCCTTATTCAACACAAAAACACAGTCTGTTCATTGTCTGAATTGTCCTCATCAGAAATCAGGTACTGTAGTGGCAACAGAGAGCCCGAATGATGTTTTCTTTTGAATGAATCAGTAGTTTGTTATATTGTGACCAGTGGAAAGCAAGAGTGAGAGTAATTATGGACCTGTTGCAGGTAGATGATGTCCTGCACAAGATGGTCCAAATCCTGCCTTGATAGCGTCACATTCACTCATATTTTGTGGCACCAGTACACCTAGTGCTAAAATTTAGTGGCACTGTCTCTAAAAATGGGGCTGCAAGGTGGCGCAGTTGGTAGCACTGTTGCCTCGTCCCGGTGGGGGCACCGGAATCTTTCTGCGTGGAGTTTGCATGTTCTCCCCGTGCAGCGTGGGTTCTCTCCGAGTTCTCCGGCTTCCTCCCACACAGTCCAAAAACATGTTGAGGTTAATTGGTGATTCTAAATTATCCGTAGGTGTGACTGTGGGTGTGCTTGGTTGTCTGTCTCTGGGTGTGGCCCTGCGATGGATTGGCGACCTGTCCAGGGTGTCCCCTGCCTTCGCCCTGGGTCGGCTGGGATGGGCTCCAGCCCCCCCGCGACCTTAGTGAGGATTGAGCGGTGTATAGATAATGGATGGATGTCTCTAAAAATGATCACAAAAAGTGACTAAATGGTTGCAGTCTGGAACTTTGGCAAAATTTCCTTTCTGATGAGCCAGGCTATAAATTGTCGTTGTAAAATCTCAGTTTAGCCCTCATCACTGCTTCTCTTGCCTTCAATGTGATCTCACATGAACACAGATACTGAATGTCTGTTTTTATACTGATAACCGCATAAGATTATCTGTCAGACAGGGCGCCAGAAGCAGATCACTGATTGGAGGGATGAGCCAACACCAGCTGCTTTTCCACAAGATTTGCAGTGGAAATCAGTGAGCACTCATCAAAAGCTGAAAGTCTGCTTCTGCCTCATAACCATTTGTCTGATCTTTGTTCCAAATCATTTTGTCTAAAAAAAAAGGGCCACGTGTTTGGTTTGAGGAAGTGACAGTGATTGCAGGGATTGTTCAAGACAAAGAAATGCGCTTAAATACATTTATATGAATCTAGCAACAACAACAAAAACAACAGTATTATGATCACATTGTTTGACAGTGTGGAAGTCTGTGTAGGTTGTGTTAATATTTGTCCTGGGGCTACACTTACAATTGCAATTATTTTCATTGCCAAACAAGTTATTTGCATCTTTTAAGGAAAAAGCCCAGCGTGTGATTCCACAGAAGGATGCAGGCTGTTCAGGATGAATTATTAACAGTAATGAGTTAATTTGTTCTTTCTTGCATCTTTCACATTGTCAGTTAGCTTTAACCATTTGATAAACGTGCGACATTTTTTCACAGTTCTTATTCTCAAAGGATCCTTTAAGGATGTCGATGATTTTTTTCGTTTTTGGCACAGGTTTTGTTGATGGAAGTAACACTGCCTCCCCTACAAAAAGCCTCTGTTGACCCAAAGAGACAAAACTGGGGGAACAAAGTCTGCAAAAGTAGCGTTTACATAATTTATCCGCTTAAAAGTACTGTATGGCTTTGTGTTAACACCTCCAGCAGTGCTACCTCATAATGTCACTGCTAACTAGCTTCTTGAGCCTTTGTGGTATTTCAAACTTTATATCATTTTTCAAACTGTCCTCTGTGCTTTCACTACATTCTAGTTATTCTTTTCATGTTATTATCATGATTATGTATTTCTGTTAGAGCCAGTACAATCTACTCAAACCTCAACTGGTCCAAAATGTTACAGTAAAACTCACCACATCCTAAAAATAATCCACTAAACAGCTTCATGGTTACCTGCACATTTTAGAACTGGTTTTAATATCGACATGTTGACTTTTGGAGTTGACCCCGATTACATCACTGGCATGTTAATTGCTTACGAACCTTGAATGCAGCCTGAAAACCCTCCAGCAGAGATCTTGTAGCAGGTCCTATGTCCAGGTTAAAAACAAGAAAATAGGCTTTTGGAAACCAACCAGAGACCAAGGAGACTAACTCTGCTCCTTTAAAAAAAATCAATTAAAAATGCTCTTGTCTCAAATTTATTGTTTACATTTTTACTTTGTGTTTTAGTATAATTGTGTTTTCTATAGCATTACATTTGTTTTCATTGTAAAGCTCTTTGTAGCTTGATTTTTTTGGTGCTCTAAATAAGTTATTATTATTAGTATGATAACTACTTTCATTAACTATTTGTTCTTTGTCTGTTTTTGTAGATAAACGACCGTCTTGACAGGTACTGCTGTGGTTTCACACCTGATCCGACAGAACTCTGTGTGGAGAACCTGCTGCGAGCCAAATGCGGCCACACCAAGGACCTAATGCTGGTTCACATCCTGGTACGTATCCCAACCAGTGCTAATCCTATTTGATCCTATTTGATCCCGTCAGACAGGAAACTCAAAATGTTCCTCTGTGTGCTGTGATTATTATCATTTGTCTTGAGACAGTAAAAGGTAAAGATGAATCCATTATCCTCAGTCGAGACAACAGCTTCACTGATGTGTGTTTTGACGGATGTGTGGATAAAAAGAAAACGCTTTGTCTCCTGCCATGCCAAATTGTTGTTTAATATCAAAGTCTGTTTCCTGTTGTTGTTAGATTGTTATTCATTATATCAGCAGGAATGAAGAAAATAAAATCCACCTCGGCTACCCTGTGGTTTTTTTTTGTTGCTCAACATTTTTTATGCCTGTCATTCTTCCATAGCAACACCAGAGCATGGATCCATATTCATGTGATACAACAGGAGTGCGTATTAAACTCTCAGCAGTGTCTAGCCAGCAAAGAAGCTCTCAGGCAGGCAGATGGTTCTGAGCAGGAGCTGATTATTGTGCAAGTGCTTTATGTTATTTCTCACAGTTTGTAAGAACAAATAAAGCCTGTTAGTGACAAAACCACAGGAGCAGCCTTTTATGTGCTGTTCAGCTGCTGTCAAAGGTCTCCCAGTATCACTTGGCTGCTCAGATCTTAGAGAACACATCATTTTTGGTTGTTTTTGTGCTATGACGTGAGGCTGATATTTGAATAATATTGTGAAGTATGAAAAGTCTAAATCACCAACATTGTGATTTAAACATTTCACAGCCATTGCAGTAGAGGCACAAGTATTACCAACCACTTAAAAAGTTTAATTTTATTTATGTGTAGTCCTTGACTGTAGCTGGAGCATATTTAATTCACATGTGAAAAATGTATTAAAATTTATAAACATACTAAAGTTGAAAAATTGCAAAAAATGAATTAGAAAATGCAAAAAGGCAGCAGACTGTGTATGTACACAGATTTCTAAGTGATTACATACACTAAGCATGTGATTTCAGCGTCCACTGTAGCTTCTGTTCCACTGGGGAGATGAAAAACAGCAGCAGACAAAGAACACTGTGGAGCAACAAACAAACTGCAATCCTAACAAACACATTTACTCAAGGTTATCATGTTTTCTACGTCCCTTTCTATGGTCTGAGCTCCTTTACGTTGTTGCTGAGCAGGTAGCGTATTGCTTGAGAGGAGGTTGATGAGAGCTGTGAGACTCAACCAAAACAGTAAGAACAATTCCGTACAAAGTCGACCAGACATCTGCAACTTTAAGAACTGCTGCTGTTAGGACGAGTAGAATGGATCTTTATATTGGCTTCCTTGTGTCAAAGGGCAGATTTTAAAGCTGGAGTGTGGGACTTTTACGTATACATGACTCTCTATTACATTCAAGCTCGTACCAAACAAGTTTCCACAATGCTTATTAAATCTATCAGTGCCAGTAGATCTCCCTGTATTTTAAAGTGCAGCAGAGTTTTAAATCTGATTTCTGTAGCGATATATTCCAGTGGTGGCGTATTGGTAATGGTGAGTTTTATGTCAACCAGCAACTATTGCCAAAGCTGAAGAGGAGAGAAACTGTAGCAGTAGTGCCAGACTAGGCTGCCGCAACTAGGAATATGATGGAACCTACAGCCTAAAACCTTAACAAGCACCCAAGACAGAAAGGTTTCTAAAGCTCCCGATGAAAAAAGAAACTAGCCATTCAGAGGAAGGAGTATAGTCTTTAAAAAGAAAGCAAGCAAGGCATTAATCTTAGGTACACTTTGCTATGTTTGTGTAAGTACTCTCACTGCCAGAAGGGGGAAACAAAAGTTCTGCCCTGCAGGTTCAAAACTACAGCACTGAATGGTTTCATTCCAAAGTATATATCTGACCTGATGTTCTGCTATAAAACCATCCAGGTGGACCAGGAAGGTGTCCTTGCTGTCACAGGAGTCCAAACTAAACATGGACAGTATGTTTTTCTGCTCCACATATCTGGAATAAAGACCCAGAAACTTGAGTTCTGCGCCAACTTTCAGTTCTACAAGCTAGCTTTAGGACGACTTTACTTTTTTCATACTGTCCTTGTTTTTATTCCCTTGATTAATTTTTTTTTTTCAGTTTTTTAATTTTTTTAAAATTTTTTTTGTCTTTTTCTATTGTGTCTTTGTGTAGCCTTGCGATACAAAGTACAGATACGCTTCACACTGGACTTACATTGGACTCTGTGTCAGCAGTGCAGTTAAATGCCGCACAAAACAAACTATTTAAACATATTAGATCACTGAAAATTATACCCAAAAGAGCAAAAGAGGTAAAATAGAGCTTCGTGGTTATGCTACGATGACATATTACATATACAGATATGTTGAGCATACTGTATGTCCATCCATCCATCCATTATCAATACACTGCTTTATCCAGTGTAGGGTCTTTGGTGATGCTACACTTTGACTGCACTGTAACTTGAAAACGATGCAAGATAGACACATTGTTTGTATGGGAAACCATATGTAGGCTTCCCACTGGGGATGTAACATTCGACCTTGGGTGATAGTTCAAGGTCAAACTCAAGGTCGGAAAATGTTGATATTGCCATTATATTTTAAATAGCATGTCATGTATACATTGGTAGTACCTCTTTAACCTTGGGCAATCAGCCAGCCATGACTAGTGAATGAAAACACCTATTTTGTAGTAAGTTAATACAGATTAATGGTTTACTTGGACTCACTGCAATCATGGCCAGCAGAGGCAGCTTTATCCCTCTACTGAGCGCCCTCTATATTTAGTCCCTGTTAAATTCACTTTATTTCTGAAAAAAGATCAGTGAAAAAATAAAAAAGAACAAATGTTTTGCAGTGTCACCTGTGTTTCCTTCTGACAGTTTGTGTCTGTGTTTGTGTTCAGGTGAGGAAGGCAGATCCCTCCAGACTGGTGTTCATTGACAATGCTGGCAGACCGCAGCAGTCCAGTGACAACCTCAACTTCAGGCTGGTTGAGGGCATTGATGAGTGAGTACACAGCGCTAGCTACATCAGAGCAAGAGAATGCAAATTAGATTTTTTTTTCTCTTTCAATTGTTTGTTGTTGTTGTTGTTGTTGTCATTGTTTTCCTTCATTCAAGCAGCGAGGCTCAACAAATTACACGGCACAGATTCAGAAACTCATTTTAGCTCACAGCGGGCAGAAACACTGACGTAAGGAAATGTTTCAGAAGAAAAACACATCTAACAACATATTTCCCTGGTGAACAGCTTTCAAATCAGCAGCACAGAAACGTCCACTGGAAGCTTGTTAGGATTTTGTTACAATGTCTGTCTGATTAGATTAGTGTGCTTTCAATTAGCCCGCTATTCAATATGCTGAATGAATCAGGTCTGATAGAAATTCCCCATTGTCTGTCACTTAGGATTACTAAGCTGTTCCATAAAGTTCTCTTAAATGTCTTAAGTCTGGATTTGCGGCTGAATGAAAATAGAATGTTAAAGTCTCATATTATTTCACATCACTGAAGATTATGGAGGTAAATAAAAGGAAAAGTTGTTGTTTCTTAGGGGTCTAGAATGATCAGGTGCACCAGGTTTGCTTTAATTTACTTTAGAGCTTGACTGGAGTCCACTTGTAGCAAAATGAATGAACTGGACAGAGATCCAAAATTTGATTCACACTGAATGTCAGGGAAAAAAATGGCTTTTTCTTGGTTGTCTGAAACAGCCTGTATGTGATTTGGGGGCAAATGTTCTGAGTAAATCCAAAGGACGTCATATCATTGCTCGCTCTTACGTGCATTGCCTCAGTGCTGCTCTTCCCCCTGCAGTGCCAACTGTGTGCAACGCCTGCTAATGTTAGCTTAGAGCCTGCTTACGTCCACAAATGAACAAGTCCCTACACAAACCTTACATCAACACAAACAACTGAAGCCCATCAAGCCAAACAATATCATGAGCAACATTAGGACAAAACCAGGGTCAACATTAGCAGAACATGCGATTCATAGAGGTTGTTGTCAAACTACAGTATACCCAGATATATGTTCCTTTTCATGTTAGAATCTACATAGTTTATATTGTGACTTACATATCAGTGTGACTTCAGTTCACCTCATCCATCCATCTGTTGGATCATGTTCAGTGTCATGTATGTCATGTCACTGCTTTGGCCAGTGCCAAGGATGCTTGCTTGTACCACCCAGTTCCTACTTTCCATGTCTGCAAGGGTATGAATAACGTAAATTCATCATCCACATGTGGACTGTTGCATAGGGTCCAAAATTTAGAAACCTGTGAATTGTGTGCACCGCAAGCTGGAAAAAAAAAATAGTACTCAAAACAAATGCTTGTTTTGAGGAAAGACTGTACAAGGACATTCTCTGTCATCGACTCATTTATCTTTAAAAGACTTCAAATTAACTTTGACACTTGGGACATGCTTTGACTTGTACATATGTTCCATTGACAGTACCCATGCACAGTAGGAAATTCTAATGTCTCTAGAAATTTCTGTTATGTCTGCACAATGGAGAGGACTAGAATTTGAAGTTGAAAAAAATACCAGCATCTTCTTATTTTTTCCAATTCTGTTGAAGAGGCTGAAGCATGGCAATGTCAGTCTGTTACCGTGGCAGCGAGTTCATGCTGCACCGCTTCCAGTTATCTGGACAAGAATGGCAACATAAAGTAATCATGAAACAATAGGCTTTTAATACGCATGTCAGTCTTTTCTCAAAATAGTTGTTTTTTAGCTGATTTCCAGACGCCCACTTTTGTTTGTCATTTAGTTATTTATTTAGTTAATTTGTTTGTTGTTTTTTGTTTTTCACCTCATGTTTTTAGACAAATCTTAGCTTCAGGTTGGCACAGCCACCAAAATAAAAGGGAATTTAATTTATTTCTTTTCATTTCTTTAATTTGTTTATTTATTTTTCTTTTACCAAACTAATATCACTGATAATAAATATCCAATTTAAATTACAGACAAGATATTTCATTACAATAAATCAAAGAATGGGTAACAAAACAAATGGAAGAAAACAAATTTAGGTGTAAGTAGTAGCTAATCCAAATTTTAAAAAAAGAGCAAGGAGTGAAAAAATGAGCAGAAAGTCTTTACTAAATGCCGACATAAATCGGGTGAGCTATTGTCTTTAATAAAGACAATGTGTTTCTTCTTTTGTGTAGATGAAAAACTGCATCCAAAGTTGATACTTTTTGGTATTTTACTTGATAATTATTGATCCTTTCAAATAAAGATTCACTTATTGATTATAACCCTCCAGATTTTGTCTGGCTCTTCTGGTGTCACAGACCAAACCTTAGAGCACCAATAAAGGCTTCTGGAGCAGGTCCAGATGATTGTTTGGGTAGACCTGGTGGCAGGAGGAAATCCTTTCCTCTAGCACCATCTCACTCCCATCAAATCTCAACGTGTACTTGTACATTCTAAATATACAACTTTAATGTGTGGATTGCCTTAAAATGTAAATGCATTACAACAGAGTGAATCCTTTTTTATTTTTGATAATCCACAGGCTTTCTTCTCGTGCCACCCTCAGGCCAAACTGTCAGTCTTCAGAGGCCTCCAAGCTTTTATTCTGGCAGCATGCTCAGGGCAAATTTTACACCTTTCATAGCAAAGCACTTTCTCATTTTAAAATGTTGTGTACAAATCACGCTTTTATCCCTGCCGCTGGAAAGGCTCTGAGAAAAACTACACTTGATTTTCTTTCTTTTTTTTCCCTCCTATATGTTCATGTGTAACGAACATTACAGCCTCTGGTAAACTGGGTTTACACATTAACACGTCAAATCCAATGCTGTTTGTCTCATTAGGTTTCCAGAGAAAGCCGTGTCAGTGCTTCACTCAGGCTGTCTGGAAAATCTTCTTCTACGCTCCCTTTACACTGACAGGGAGTTCTGGGACAGCCTTGGCGGGGCCAGCGGTCTCAGGCCGCTCATCCATGTGGTGCAGCAGAGAGGGAGCATTCTCCTCCAGCACATCAGAGACAAAAAACTCAGACTCAAGAGGGACCTGTGACAGAACTGGAAAGGCCAAGCTGGAGTAGAAAATAAGCTGCAGGTTGGAAAGCTGAAGATGACATTTGCTCAGTGTGATCAAAAAGACACTCTGAAGGAACAGTAGCCGTCAGAAATTAAATTCAAAAGTTAATTCAAAAGCTCGTCACGTCAAGATGGAATCACAAAAGTTTTCCAATTATGCATTCAAAACTAGTGGCAAAGTCATTTACAAGTTTTTTTGTTTTTTTTTTTTATATATATATACTTTTCTTTCTGAAAGTCCAGAGGTCATGTAGTTAAATATGTATGTGAGAATCTGTGTGAATGGATTAACAAATCAAGAAAACAGACTTAAGAACCGCACAGGTAGACAAATAAACCACAGGCACAGACTAAACTGCACCCAGACAGTGTGCAAACTGTAAAAGAGCAGAATCTGCCACCAGCTGAAGTAAGTAATGAGTTTATCAGTCTGTTCGCTCACTTTATTTATCTGTATGTTCAGTTTATTTACATTTACATCTTGTTCAACTACATGACTCCTGGTGGGATCCATGCACATGACATGGACGGCCAGTGTTTTGTAAACTTCATCAGCATCTGAACTGACCAATGTTTCTATCTGAAGGTGCCGTATGTTTTAATGCTATTGGTTCTACAGCTCACCAGCTAAATGCTGCCACCTGAAATTCAGATTTGGTTGTTCCACTGGTGGATGTACCTGACAGATCAGATTTAAATGTAACCATGTAAAACCCAAATATTGAAGAACTGATCAAAAATCTTTCAGATGCTGTTGTGCAAATTTGCAGGTTTTTTTTTTTTTACATTTTGGTAGGTTTTGGAGGAAATTGTGTAATATTGCAGCATTAGTCCTCGTTGGGAGTGCAATTTCTGTATTTGTATTCTCATTGTCCGAACAAATATACAGAACAACTAAGGGTTCATTTGCAGGGTGTGTGGCTGATGTAGCTCCAGTCAGGTCAGTGAAACCTTCCCATCTTACCATCACAGCATTGTCTATTGTCAGTGTAGCAGCTTCGGCCAGTTTTCATTCATTGTGCATCAGCTCTGCAAACAAAATCAAACATAAACTTCAAGGAAACACATGTGTCAGTGTGTTCATCCCTTTGGAAAAAAGCAAAATATACACAGGCTCACATGTTCGAAAAGCCTAATTCAGCCGAACAGTTTGATCATTTGCACCATATGAAACACCCCTGTAGCTCTGTCTGTTGTTCACAATGCTTGTCAGTCCAAACAGCATCATGTTTTTCATTTAAGCCTTCCATCTGCACTCACTAGCATCTCACCAAATGTCCTCTCACAGTAGGGAAATGTGAGACAAATTATACCCCCATTTCCTCCACAACAGCAGGTGCAAATTCGAGTTTTTTTTCCAAGCATTTTACTGGGAAAAAAACAGTTTTTCTCTCTATTTTAATATTTTTACAGAGAGCTACCAGCAGGAGATTGAGTGATTGATTTGGATGTCTGTTCATATGAGATAAGCTTTTATTCGACGGATTAAAAATGGCCGTCAGCAAATAGCTTCTGGACTGGATTCTGGAAGTCTTCCATAATATATATATGTGTGTGTGTGTGTGTGTGTGAGTGTGTGTGTGTGTGTGTGTATGAAACTTTTTTTCTTTTTTACTTTTTTATACATTTTCAAAGGGTCTGTCCTTCAACATTGTTGAAATGCGCAGCAGTTACAGTTTTAAAAGATGAAAGAAAAGGAACGAAAGTTGGATGAAAATCAAGTGTCATTAGGGAAGGAATAGAGCTCAGGCTTTTCTGTCTAAACGACACATTTCTTAAGCTGAACTGTCACAAAACATTCTTTTGGTATTTGGGTCTTGTGAAAAGCAGGGTGCTATCACTTGAAGCTGTTTTATTCCTTACCCGTTTTGAATTAACATTCCAGTCATATTGGTAGTTCATGGATTAATGACATTTTCTATGGCTCCCTCTTTCATCACTGAATAAATGGCTCTAATGAGAAATGGTTCAAATGTGTGATCATCTCTTTATCCTCACTTGATCTCTTTTACATTAAATGTTTTCCCTTTTTTTTTTTTTCCATTTATCAAACCAGCAGCAGTGTGCTGGTTTTTGCTCATTTTTGCTCCAGTTTATTAAGCCCCATCTGGATTATACCATATTTAATGCATTCACATATACATAGTAAAGCTTTTATACTGTGCTGCTAAAGGACAGTGGTCCAAAATAGCAGGATTCTGTGTGAAAAGACAGACGCTAAAATGGGATGGAATGTTAGAAATGTAGGGGAATGAAAAGAATAACAGGATTGGGATTTAAAATATAAAGAAACAGATTAATTGGATGTGATGAAATGTGATGCCAGGCTTCAAGTACCCCAAAAAAGAAAAGGACACCAAACCCATTTAATAAACCCACCTAGAAATAGAGGTTTTAGAGAAATAGTGACAGAAACAGTGATGTCCCTCTACTGCATCACCACCCATCTAAGGATTTTAAGCTCACAATAAAAATAACCTGCATTGTTTATCATGCGCTTTACAATTTATCTCTCATTCATCCATTCACATAGATGCAAGGTGCCATACAAGAACTAGGGTCCACTGCCTTTGTCACAGCAAGTGTGGACTTGTAAGTCTCCAACCACTTATTAAATAGAAGAGTCACTCTACATGCTTAGTCTAGACACTACATTAAACAGTTTTCTCCAGAACTGGGAAATACATTCTGGTTAGAACATACCAGTATTTTCATTTTCAACATACCACTAGCATTGCTCTCGAGATGGCCATGCAGGCAAGGCCAACACTATTCAATAGGACTCCACTTATTCCCTCCTCAACCCACTGAATGCTACCAGGGCAGGATGGCCTACAGCTTGAGGCTGACATTGGTGATTAATGGCAGCAAATGTTTCCCCCCTAGTTCTAATGCTAGAGCCCACAGATTCTTGTTAATTACTGTTTAAAAAGGCCGCAAAACTGAAAGGGTGTGCTTCATAGGTGATGCAGAGACTGGAGTTTATCACATGGTAATGCAGCAGTGCAGCTGGACTTGACTGCCTCAACAGACAGACTCACAGACTCTAGAAACCGTTCTCTAAAGTAGCAGAGGGTTTCCTAAAACTGATGACAACAGAACCTCAGTGGTCGCTCCAGCCCCATGTATGAAGACTTAAGATTGTAAACCTATATCAGCTTCTGTCCATCTTTTCAAGGATTAGACATTAAATATTCGTACACTGAGCTCAGCACTGGTAATTAATTTATTCTTTACATGCCATATGAGCGGTATCTCACTGGAAATGTTTAAACAGGCTGCAGTAGAAGCTGCTTCTTCATTGTATATATCGTACACTTACTTCTGCTCCTCTAAACTCAGTGTCCAAGTGTGTTCTGGTGTTGTGATCATTTAAACAAATGCATCTCAGAAACAAGTTGTGGTGTACGGCACTCTGTGGGAACATCTTAACCTTGTTCCTGTTTGAGGTGACCTACATTAAATGAACGTACGCCTCTCATGTATGCTTAAAAAACAAACATGTAAATGCATTTTTACGTGAGACACTGAGAGAGAGAGCCAAGGAGACGAAGGGTGAAAGACGACAAACATAAACGGCCAGCCACTCATGACTCATCCATAAAAGCCATCATCATGGAGCAGTATGGTGAAGGTCATTATCTGGTGCAGCACAAAAAGAATGGGCTATTAGAGGAGGCAGAGGCGAGCCACAGGCCGGCTGCTGCCGCTACCTTGAGGCTGCGATGCCAACATGTGAATGAGAGTGCTGCTTTCTGGGAAAAGGAGGCCATGTAGGTAATGAGGATATTTTTTCTCCCTTATTTGGATGATGTAAAATGTTGCTTTAGCTTCATATTCAATGACATTACAGTGAGCATATTTATCCAGAGTGCATACAGCTTCTGTGTTCACCAAAATGTGTTCTTCTGCTGCCCTGCTGGGACCATCAATTCATCTGAACGAAGTAAACAGTTGAGTTCAAATTCAGATTTCTTGCTCTGGCAGAAGTCAGGCAAATGTTTTCATTGTCATGGTCACAGGTTGTCATTTGTCATTTTGACTGGTTGTGGACAGGACGGCTCCTACAGCCAACATACACACAATCCAGCTGCGCTGCGTTCCAGCTCTGTCAGGGCTTTCGGTGACAATCAAGCCAGTATGTCCAACAGCTCAATCTCACACTCTGCTATTTTCCCAGCTTTGCTATTTTTATGTTTGGTCTATTTTTGCCAAAGCGGCTCCCATCTCTTAAATACACAAGCTCACTGCAGCTTCAGAAAACCCAGAAAAATAGACAAAACCCAAGCAAACTAAGAAAACATGTTCACCAGTTGGACACAACGTGTGCAACATTTAGGGAAAAAAATGCCACAAAGTGAGAAAATAAACAAACACAGATCAAGCTACAAATACAGAAAACACCGCATGCACCACACTGGAGCAGGAAATGCACTTGTACTTGTAATAAAGACCCACATTCATTGTCAATTCACTTAATGCATACAAAATGTTTTGCCCTTTCACATATCTACACACAGTTATATCCAGGTCCACAGCACATTTAGGCAACATGACACTGAACTACACATAATTCTGCCACAATTCCTGTTCCTGTTCAAGTGCGTGTGTGAAGGACAGTTACATTTCTAAAATGAGCTGATATCACCTACAAAGTGTATTTTGTGACAAATAAATAACTGCGTTGCTTCACTTTGTGTGAAGTATCTAAAAAGAAACATAAAACCTCGGTTCAGGCTTTGTTCCTCCTCACGGCAAATCTTTTTGTGTCTTTGTAAATATTTTCAACATTCATGTGGACTGAGGGAGCAAACATTTAGTGTCGGTTAAAGATTTGGCTTTATTCACACTAACTAGCAGCTATGTACAACGACTAACCTGGAACACCCAGCTGTAACCTCACTTGCTCCTTACATGCTTGCTAATAACTTATTTGAAAAAGTGAGGTGTCAGAAATTGACCGCATTGTGTTAGAAACATAGATTTATTTTATTTTGATTATTTTCTTGTTTCAAACCGTTAACATGAACTCATCAGTTTCAGAAAAATCTGTTCAGCCAGCCGTCTTCTCTGCAGGGAACAGCCAACAACAATCCTTCCTCCTGGACATATTTTGACTCAGACAGTGTGCAGACAGGAAGGTCTGCTCACACACAGCTCCATTATTAATGTGTATGAGAGAGCAGGAGAG